ATGGTCACCATGGATGGATGAATGGACGGGTCAGCTGATGGGCCAAAGCCAACACTACATAATGATACTACATGGGAATATCAGATAATAATCAGATTAGAATTTTAGATTATGAGCTATATGCTAACATTAAGGATTTTCCTGTTATTGGGAAGACATTAACACCCAAATGTAAAGTAATCGACTGGGTCTTTAGTTCCTCGGGAGTATTATGTTTGAGATGACAACTAGCTGGGATGGACTTCAACTTTTGGACCTCTCCATACCTGTGTGTGCATGATCAAATGTGCTATAGAATGAGCACAATAACTAAATATGGAGCAAATTGCTAGCGTACTTTTGTTAAAAGGTTACTAAATTGGTTGCTAAATTCAGCTGCTTCCAGAATCTGTGATGCTAAAAAACAGTAGTGGAAAACCTTAAAGGTGCCTTTTATACAGAGGTTGGCAAAACAGCCTGGAGCCTTGTAACTACGTGCAACCGTACAGACATGATAAACTACAGTTTTTAACAACTCGTGCCACGATGAGACTGTTGTGTGCCATAATTGTTGAGTTGTTGGTCTTCATAGAGGTGCTAGAAGGATTGATTTTGCTGCTTCTGGACAGCGCCAGGATGTCGAGTTCCCTGTTTTTAGTCTTAATTTTAAACTAAGCTTAATGTAAAGTGCATTTACATGACACAACAAGCCAAAAGCAAAAGCAAATTCAATACTGAATAAACTTGTACAACATGTGCTCCAAGTGAGTAGAGAGGAATAATAATATTTTTGGAGCAATCACCTTGCCCGTAGGTGGAGGAGGTGGAATAACTACTCATTCTCTGTCACTAGCTCTATTAGAAGCACTCAAGAAAGCCAGTGGGCCCACTTAGCAATGCAATAAATACTCTGAGAGCTGAGGGACAGTGAGGAGAGAGAGAGCGAGAGAGGGGAAAATGAGTGAGACATAAGGGAGAGCTGCTAAAGAGATGAGAAAGAATACAAAGATTGGTTGTTAGAAGTCAGAACGGGGGAAACTGGGCGAGAGCAGAAGGAAGAAACTGTTATGAAATTAAAAGATTTAAGTAAAAATATTCAGAGTGACAGAAGAAAAAAAAAGCAAGTAAATCTCTACAGATACTCTCAAGTAGATTACTCTTAAAGAGACCCCAGTTGTAACACATATTTAATCTTTCCCCTCCCCTTTCCTCTTCCTTATTCTTCTGTGAGATGGGAATAGGTCACGGTGCCAGCAGCTGGTTTTGCAAACAACGGGGCGACATGGCTGACGTAGCTCAGAGGATTGTTTCCTCCCATTTCTGTTTTGTCTGGACAAGCATTCGCATGAATTATGACCCAGCCACTAGCAGGACACAGCAAACATATGCTAGCTGATTGTCTCATAAATTCACGCCGCACCTCACTGCCCACCATCCATTGTGCCGTCTGTAGTCAAGTAACAACAACAAAGAGCCCTTCCTGCCAGGCCTGTTTCAGGTCCCTGTGGTGATGACCAACAAAAGACGAGTATAATGTGATTTGTTATTGTGATATTTGCTGCAATTAAAGCTGTTGTTGGAGATTTAGATCCATGTTGGTGAGGGATTTAAGCTGGTTTAGTCACTGGAAATTTACTCTGATTCAATTCGGAGAAAAACGGATTGGCAAATCCATTTAAAAATAAAATAAAACTTCGGAGTTACAAAGCAGGCAACAACTCTCTGTTAAATCTAAACCAGAGGTACAACACAAGCAAACACAACAAACTCTTCTGAAACCCTCCACTTCACCTTACATGACAAAAAATGTAACTACACCTCACAACGACACAACTTTGGTGACAAAACTGCAGAGCAAGGCAGGCAGAAGCACGACACCTAGTTTATGCTTGCTGTTGTTACCCTGTATACAGCTTAAAAAGACTTTCTAGGGAAAACTTGCCTCCCAACTTTTACTCCTGCACCAGAGCTGGTACAGAGCTTTCTTCTGAATGGTAACACCTTCATTTTAAGACTGCAGCAAGTCCAGTGCCTCAAGCACCAGCATATATGGATACGGTGCTGTAGTAACGTCACATTTGGTGTGACATTACCAGTGCAGAGACCATAAACTAGATTTAAATGTAGGAAAGTATACATTAGCACTCCAGGGCACAAGTTTAAGAAATACTAGTCAGAGCAAATTTGGTTGAAGTCTAGTTAGTGAAAAATGGAAAATGACAGATGGGAAGAGGGCCATGTGACACATCAAACCTATTGGTAATGTCACAAGAAAAACAATGATGTGCTTGGTTTCAATGTAACTTTATTCATTCATGAGTTATTTACAAGTTTCTCTTTGTTCACAGCCATTGACATGTCAAAGAGGTTAACACTTGAGGAGCGGATTGAAATTGTGTTGATATCTGGTGCAGTAACTGGGTCATTGCAGCAGATTTCAATGCAAGACACCCTACGAGACCACCCATCTCCCATGCTACAGTTAGCAAACTGCTTGCTAAGTTTCGTGAAACTGGACGCAAGAAAACTGTCACTAATGAAGAAACATCAGTGGCTGTCCTAGCTTCATTCAGCAAGAGCCCACAGCGTAGCACTCGCCGCATGTCACTGGAGAGTGGCATTAGTCGAACATCCCTTCGGCAGATATTAGCTACTCACAAATGGCACCCTTACAAACTCCAGCTACTGCAGCATCTCAACGAGGACGACCCAGATCGGCGCACAGAATTTGCAGAATGGGCAAAACAAAAATTGGAGCAGGACTCTCAGTTCACGCAGAAGATTTTGTTCAGTGATGAGGCAAACTTTTATGTAAATGGTGAAGTTAACAAACAAAACCACCACTATTGGTCTGACACTAACCCACATTGGATGGATCCCTCCAAGACTGTTGGAACAACAAAAGTGATGGTTTGGTGTGGTATATGGGGTACAACGATAGTGGGTCCATTCTTCATCAATGGAAACTTCAAGGCCACTGGATATTTGAAATTGCTACATGATGATGTGTTTCCCTCTTTATGCACTGAAGCTGGCACGTTCCCTGAGTTTTTCCAGCAAGATGGTGCACCACCACATTATGGGTGCCAGGTCCGAGCATTCCTAGATGAACGGTTTCCTGGACTGGTCATCGTGGGCCAGTTAATTGGCACCCAAGGTCTCCCGATCTGACCCCTTAGATTTTTATCTTTGGGGTCATCTGAAGGCAATTGTTTATGGTTTGCAGATACGAGATGTGCAGCACCTGAAACTATGGATACTGGATGTCTGTGCTGGTATTTCTCCTGTGGTGTTTCTATCAGCGTGTGAAGAGGGTTGCATTGACAATCCAACACAATGGGCAGCACATTGAACACATTTTATAAGTGGTCAGAAACTTGTAAATAACTCATGAAAGAATAAAGTTACACTGAAAACAAGCACACCATTTTTTTTCTTGTGACATTACCAATAAGTTTGATGTGTCACATGGCCCTCTTCCTATTGGAAAAACAAAAGTTGTATCCAAGATGGCCGACTTCTAAATGGCCACCATGGTCACCACCCATCTTGAGGAGTTTGCCCCCTCACATATACTAATGTGCCACAAACAGGACTTTAATATCACCAACCATTCCCATTTTATTACGGTGTATCCATATAAATGGCCCACCCTGTAGTTTAAGTGTCACTAGAGTCTTCATGTCATCAGATGTTTGTCTCCTTCATGCTTTCGATGCCTTGATGTGAGCACCACTCTGTTTTCCAGATCATTTGGTCCTATTTTAAAGAGGGTTTTCCATGTCCTTTTTAAAAAAAAAATTTAGTTGTTCTTAGTTACTACTACTATTATTATTATTACCATTATTATTATTAATATTAATATTAACATTATTATTATTATCCTGGAGGACACAGAAGCCTTCAGGGTTGCATCCGAAAGGCCATTTGCCATAAAAAGCTGACCTTAAATTTTCTATTTTTACTTTTTTCCCCCACTTATTTGGGAAAATCCTACTGAGGTTGGAAGTTTAGCCAAGATGGCAGTATACAAGGCTGAAAACCAAAACACTACGTCAGAAAGAACTACAATGAACTCATATTACAAGATTAAAATAAGGCTAATCGCAGGAGCAGTAGTAATGGCGATGACAATGGTTCTGAATTTAGCCAAGGATATTGGACTCATCAATTTAACCTCAAAACAAGCAGGGTCCCTGAAAACAAGCATTAGCATCCAAACCTTGTTCAGGTATTCTCAGGGCATAGATTTAAGTGAGAGAACTGGAGCACAAATGAGTGGAACAAAATTAAACCTACTTCAAGGGGAGACTTGTTTAATTCTATTTGCAGACTATTAAAGCTGGCTGCTGCAGTCTCACTTCCCAGCCTCCATGTGTACATTAGTGATAACTAATGCACTGTACGTCTAGTAATCTCATATGTCTGCAAACTGCCAATGCCTAAATTAATGTACTTAATCAAATAACAGCCAACATTAGCAGATAAAGCACAGAAGTAGTGTTGGCACATCCATTTAACTAGACACGAGGTGTTATAAAAGGGCGACTGGATTCCATGTTTGGCAGCAGGGAGGACTCCTCTTCTGGGACACTGTACTTCTAATATTTACAGCATGTACACAAAACGACTGTGGACATCCTTCTCTGACCTAAGCTAAACAAGCAATAAGGACCTTTCTTCTTTGTTTACTTGCAGCTTTTGATATTTTGTGCACACATACCAGACAACGCTTACACCCCTCTGTGTAATCTCTGCTCTCCAACTCTGAGGCCAAGCTAATTACCTGAATTAAAGCGGGTTAGGGTTGTTATGCAAGCCGCCACAGAATTAACCTCGTGGGAAAGTAAATACTCGCACTTAGTCCCAATTTACATATTAAAAATTATTTCTTTTAAACTGAAAGACCGCTAAACAAAACAGTAAAGAAAATGATATAAAAACATTCCTCTATCAGTAACAGATTATTGCTTTTTTTTTTTTTTAAATCCTGCAGTTTTTACACAGGTGTGTTCCGTTACCTTTGATTCTTGTTGACTAGGCACAGTAGCCTGTGGTCGGTGAAGGTCCCGGTTTTGAGGTTCGTTCTCCTTTTCGCTTATTTCTGTCATTTTCTGTTTAAAAAAAATCTTCCTTCCTCAGGAAAACTCAACCAAACTGGCAAGTCCACAGCGACAGAGGAATCTGGAAACTACGCATGCAGAGGTGCAAGCATCCCTACGGTCTCTCGTGCAGCGACCCTGGACCGATTCTGACTGCTAACTTGTGGACAGCAGCCATCTAGGAATACGCTTTAAAGCTCTCTCTGTCCTATTTTTCGCTCTGAAGACACGGTGGGAAAAATATCCAACAGCTGCAGCCAGCCGGTTCGTCCACTTCCCTCCGCCGCCTCTCTCCTCTCTCTCACACCGGCCAGTTTTTCTCCGCTCGCTCGCTCACTCGCACACGCGCTCCTACAACAACTTTGATTTCACCGTCACAAGTGCTCCGCTCGTCCTGATTGGTCGAGACCAACGAAACTACGCCAAAAGCAGCAGAGGAGCTGAATTCTATAGGCTGGAAAATGATGACGATGAAGGGGCAGTACCAGATTCAGGTGAAAGCTGTTGAATTCTCCTTATAAGCATCGTATTTAGATATTCAGCGTCTATGTTGTTGTTACGCTTTTGCCTACAATGGAGAGTAAGGGCCAATAAAATAGTGTAAATGTCTCGAATGGTCGCTCAACATTGTAATGATGTGTTTCGACAGCTTATTTTCCTTCAGTGAAAGATTTCTTAGCTAACTGTGTTTATAAAAAGTGGTTTTATTATTTGGAATTAAACTTTGTCAACTTTGACTTGTTTAAATTTGCTCCAGCAAACAGTAGATTATCTCCACAATATTGCACGTGGTAGAAAATTCCAATATATCGCATATAAAAATAGCATGATTATGTTGTTGATGTTTAAGTGCGGTGCGATGCTAATACACTTCTCCTGATGCACAGGATATTGGTAGCAAGCCTGCAAATGTAATATTATTACTTCATTAGTGAAATGAAACTTCTTCCCCCACTGAAAACGGTTGCGTACAATATGATCTCATTCAGTTTCCTGAAAGCAAGACTGCATTCACTACTGGGGCAATATGCAGGGGTTGATGAAAAATGAAAGGCAATAAGGCTGAATTTCGTGCAATACAATGTTTATTTGTACACCACAAGAACAATGGTTAAAGCTAAAGGGACACTAAAGTAGCATAGTGGAGGTATGGAGGCAAATACAACCGTGTTTATAAAAGGTTTGCACTTCTAAATTTTGTGAGCAGGTGTCTGCACATGCGTATGGATACAAATCAGCAAATTATCTGATGCATACCCAGGACTGATTTATCTTGTACTTGCATACTATTCTTATACCAAGTTATTTCTCATAAATATGTGCAAGTATTTGATTTTATAGATTTTATCTTATGTATTTAAAATTAAAGTCCAATTTAAAAAAATTGAAATGAACAAGAAGAAAATAAGAATATATTTTAAAACAATACAATACTATGTGCTTAGACAGTTCACAAAGAGCACCAGCAGCAAAGCACAGGTGGCTGATTCAGCACCAAGGACAGCTCCTCCCCTCTCTTGCCTGCCTCTATGTGTGTGTGTCTGTCACTTATTATCAGCCTTACATGTGAAACTGTCTGGTTTTATAGTTGACAAGTTCTTTTCATTCCAATAATAGAACTTCTCTTATCATGCAAGGTCGTTTGTGTTTGTTGCAACAACCTGTATACAGCGTGTAATGTATTCCATAAAAACAAGCTAATTATAGAAAGGACTCAGAACAAAGCAGTGGCACCGACTGCTAATGATTCATTAATATTTAGATACTGTACTGAAAACTAAACACTTTGACAATGAGCATAGGGGAAACATATCACGCTGCGATGCTGCCCTGTCTAGTTTTATTTATGTGCACATTTAAAAATATACACAATGAAATGTTTTTATACAATATTTTCTACCTATTTATCTATCTTCACCAAAATATTCTATCTGAGGAAGATGATGTTTGTACACCATGTCCCAGTTTTTTTTAGTGGCAGTTGTCTGAAATAATCATAGCTGGCCTTGAGCAGTTTAACAGCACACTGACAGAGCCTGCCTTTGTCAATTTCTGCTGCAATGTTGTGTTATTTTGGAGCAGGAAATTATGTAAATTGAAGACCATATTATCTTATCTTAAATGCATGAAAAAGCTGATAAGGACTCTCAAGGGCTCCTCTGCGTAACTGTGTGTGTGAGCTAGTATCAGCTCTAGAAATGAACAGAGTGAGGTTATGACCTTCGTGCATACATTTTGATACTTCATAGGTATTTGTAATCATTTCCTGATGATTAAGATTTTTTTGCCCTTTTACATGTCACAGAACTCATCTGTGCTTTTTATCTATTTCTTGCTTTGCAAATATCATCAGCTGAGCATCAAATAAGAATGTACAACTGAATGTCCACATTTGTATGGATATTTTTGCTACATTTATTAGCCACTGAAAACACTTGGTTGCCAAATAATTATTATTAGACAAAGTTGATGTCATTTGCTGTCATGTCATGGCAGGATTCTTGCTGATATCTATTTTAAAGCATCATCTTTTAATATTTGCTTAAGGAAGTACGTTTTCACTCTACTTATGATACTCTGTCTTCCATATGCTTGCTGATTCTCTGTCTCTCAGCGTGTATTTTTGATGTCTAATTCAGGTTTAAAGGTAAATATGTGTTTGATTACAAGCCTTGACTTTGCAAAAGATAAAAAATAAAACAAATCCTTATCACATGTGAAGTTTGCTCAAAGTAAATATTCCAGAAGGACCAACAGCGTGCACTGGTAACAGAAGAAAAAAGTAAAATAAAATATTTTACACATGTTGTTTCTTCACTCTTTCTTCTTTTCCCTGCAGTTCCAGATGTCTTACTCCATTTTCCCGACTGTCATCTAAAATGCTCTCCACAGTGCACCAGTCTTTTTACGTCATCTTGTGTATGTGAATATAAGCGAGTGTGTGCATTTGTACTGTATGTTTGCGAAGTAGAGCTGCAAGAAGCAGGAGAAGGGGATTAGGGCCCTGTCTCTAGGAGGCACATGACCTGATATGCCTCTATTTAATCTCCCCATCCATTCAAATTAGCATAACCCTATTTTCTCTTTTGCTTCCCCTCTATCTAGCCTCTCTTCCTTCTCCTCTCCCATTTTTAAATCTGTCAATCTGCACGCTCCCTCTCATTTCCAAATTATCATTTGTCATCTATGCCAACTTTGATTCTCATCTGTTTCCAGGAGTAAAACTGTATTTTCCCAGCAGGCAGTCTGGAGAGACAGCTGACTTCAGCTGCTTCCCAGCACTGGGTGGCCAGACAGTTTTGGTTTTGCACTGAAATGCTTCAGTTGGGCTCTGCTTGGGCTGTGTTCGTTGCCTCCAGAGCTTGTGGTGCCATTCAGCCACCAATAAGTACAATTTATTACATATAGTAAGAAACAGATGAAGAACTGGATTGGTTTTAGTCGGGGTTCTCATTCTCTCTATCACTGACTTTGTGTTAATCTGTATTTAGCCTTTTCTTCTCCCTCTGTCTTTATCAGGTCATTTCTAGCTCCCTGTTTTAGATTAAAGATTTGTTAGGTACATTTTCAGTTAAAGCACCTTTTCTTGTAACACCTACCACTCAACCTTGTTTTTTATCTGCTCTTCAATCCACTTTTTGGACTTTATTGAACTCATGGATAATAGTGTCAACATTATCATAATCCTCAGGAGGATTACTGTAAGTTTGCTGGGTTGCTGTCATTGTAAAGCACAATCAAAATTCTTTAGTCATTGTCCTTATATGCCATTATTGGAAGATTATGCTGCATATGACCTTCCTGATGCAAGTTTTATCTTTCTATCATTAGACCCTCGACTTCAAAAGAATGCACACATTGCTCAGGCCGGGGGGTTTCTCTGTATGTGGCCAACAGATTTTATTAAGCATTAAACAAGCATTATACCCCAGAATTCATCTGGGTAACATTGGGTTGTAATGAATGCATTAGTCATCTGCTGACCTTGTCAGCTAAAACGTTTTTATTGGTCTCAGAAGCAAAAAGAACTTAAATTTTGAAAAAGTGATATACACTTACCGGCCTCTATATTAAGTACTGCTTGATGATGCAAATATCCAACCAGCCACTGGATGCATCAATGTATGGGTCAGCTGTGGCTCAAGTAAGTAAGGTTTATTTATATAGTGCTTTTCAAAGACATAAAAGTCACAAAGTTCTGTATGAATATATGAGTAACTGGGTGAATTAAACTTGTAGTAGAATGTGCTTTGATTGCTTACCTGACTTAAAATGCGTTGTAAAAGTACCAGTTCATTCACCATTCTTTCATGCACACATGGTCGACATAACCTGGTGAAGTTCAAACACATCATGAATCTACAGCAGCTGTGCAATGCCATCATGTCAGTGTAGACCAAAAGATTAATTATCATTGTCACCCACTTGCATCCATTATACACCCACAGTTTTTGAATGCTGCTTCTATCTTCAAAACCAAGGAATCACACAAGATAAATGCAACACCAATATCTATTTTATCACTCTGCCTCATCCATGTCATATTAAAGAAATCAAATATAATTATAAGAATAAATAATATGATTGAACTACATTATGTATTTGTTCAGCTGCACTTCATTCATACTGAAGTCTGTTTATTTGTATTCTCAGCAGCAAAAGCGTATTGCATATGTAAAAAAGGAAAATCTGTATAAAGCCTTTAAAAAAAGCCTTAAATGATGCAACAGAAAACCTGATAGATTGTCTCAAATAAGCCTCCATTTAGGTCCCAGTCACAGAAGGGAAAAAAATATGTCAACAACTGTGAGGGACCACAAAAAACCACTGGCTGGTGACTGACTGCAGGGATTTTTTATCTGATTTTTTTTGTAACCCAATGATCACTATCCCAGTCTGTCACAAGGCTAACACATAGAGACAGACAAATATTTAAACCCACATTAATACCTTTAGCCGGTTTAGATAACCCCATGCATTACTTTGGATTGTAGGACAAAGCCAGAATACCTGGAGACAACCCAGACACGGGGAGAACATGCAAACTCCTCACAGAAAGGCTCAAGGCTGGATTCAAATCCAGGACCTTCTTGCTGTGAAATGGCAGTACTAACCACTGCATCGCCTTAAGGCCACAAGGAACTAGAGATACTTTCTTTCTATATTTATATTAGTATAAATATAGAAAGAAAGTATCTCTAGTTCCTTTGGGTCCACTTGTTCCTTTAAATAAAACCTTACCACTGTGAGTGTGACAATTATAAAAGCGATGACAGTCATAGGATTGAAAAATGCTAAATTCGTTGATCAGACTAAGCATAGATTAACAGACACT